TTAAAGGATAAAGCAAACGGTTATAAGTTTTTATAATCCAGAGCAAAACGATAGGGGGGGGGGGGGGGGCAACAATCAATAGATTTTATTAAATCTATTAATTTAGCAAGTGATCAACCATTGATATCAGCGATAATTGAAGAGATGGCCAAGGTACATTTTGGGAGAGCAATTGCTGATGTATTGTGTCTCCGAAAAAAATGGTTTGATAGGCTTAATGCTTTATCAACAGGTAGTGGAAGTAATTTATTTTAATTTTTTTACCTTGGATGGGTGTGAAAGAAAGTATTTTTTTTTTTTTTTAAATTAACAAAATATACAATAATAATAAGAAAACACATTGGAACGATAAAAAATAACAACAATATGATAACCACAATAAAAACAAAACATAACAAAATAAACTGTGAACGTTACTTGCATTACTTACATAATTATATTTACATAGATAATACATACCAATTTCTCTATACAAACTAACTGTAAATAAGCAAAAACAAAATTTAATATACTTTAATACATATTTTTTTATTTATAAAACTATTTTATTGTTTTGAAAAAAATGATATTGACTTTATTTTGAAGCTAATAACTTTTCTAAAAAGGTTTTAAATTTTAATCTTTTGCCCATAGCATTCATACCTAAGGAAATTAATTAAACATCATTTGGTAAACTGTCAGAAATAAAAACTAATGTTCTTCCATCTATTACACAACGTTCGAGAGTTGAAATGATTTCTATGGGAAATTTTAATGATGTTAACCATTTAACCATTCACTAACCTTTTAATTTGATCAATCATTAACAGTATCTCTTGAATGTTTGCTATACACTGTGTTGCTATTCATTGTTAAACAAAAGCTTATTCATGAGAATATTATTTTTGCTATTGTTGTTATTGTTGTAATTGTTATTGTGATATTATTATTATTACTATTAATTTTCAATTAAAATTTCCATATGTTTTCATTGACTGAATACCATTTCCAAGATTATCAATAATTCATTATCTTATTGTTTAAACACTACAATCTGTATTTGCATATTGTTTAATAGGCTAGAATCTGCTTCTCTTTTTAAAAGAATGTTTAAAGGTAGTTTGTCTGTAAGTAGTTTGTGATGGATATCATTACTGATCTTATAAATAGTTTGCACTTTGATCAATACTGATGGTGTTATTTTAAATCTTTAAAACATCAGTTCCATAATCATAGCCAAAACAAAAGATCACAAGGAATAACCCCATACTATTGTTTATTACTGCTATTAATATTATCGCTGTTATTATTGTTATTATTTTATTGTTATACTTTCATTATTAATTATTATCTGATTATTTTTTGAAATAAATAATTAAAATAAATATATATTGGAAATATAATTTAAATAAATAAAACGTGGATTGGAAAAATATTGCATAATAAAATATTAATGCTCAATAAATTATGCACTTGGGGCAAAGATTAAACTTTTTGTATAATAAAATTTTTTTACATACAATTTTAATGTGAGGAGTAAATTATTTTTTTACATACAATTTTTGTGTGTATTTTTTTAAATTAAAAAAAAAATTAAATTTTATCAAAAATTTCAAAAAATATTTGAATATTCATTATTATCTAATTTTAGATACAAATTTTTATTTGAAAGAGTTTGAAAACACTCCTTATAAATTTTTTTTTTTTTCTTCAAATTAATTTATAAAAAAGTCTTTTGATAAATTTTTAAAAAAATTTTATAATCAAATCTTTTATTGTTTGTAAATATTTCATTTATTATTTTTATTATACATGAGAAATATGATTTAATTTATAATTATTTATTATATAAAGATGAACATGAAATATAAATTAAAAAAAAAAAAAAATATAAAATTTAAAAAAAAAAAAAAATAAAAAAAAAACAAAAAAAAAAAAAAATAAAAAAAATAAGAAAAGACAATGTTTTGTTTGTAATATCTTTATTTAAAATATTTTATCAATTATATAAATAGGAGAATGTAGAACGTATTTATATATATGATTGAGCTTAAAAAAGATGGTGAATAGTTAAAATACAGGACTTCTGGATAAATAAAAAATAATTTTGATTTTGATTTTGATTTTGATTTGAGGATGGACTTTTTGGGACTAAATTAACTTCTCTAATGCTATGTATGAAAATTTGTTTAAATTCTTCAAACTTCATGTGTTTTGATGTAATTGACATATAAAATGAATAGATATTGATGATATAAGACTTGATTAAACATGAAACAGCAAATATTCTCCAATTTTTAGCATATCCATGAATACCACCTGAATATAGATATCTGTTGTGAATATCTATTACATTGAACCATTTTTTATAGAAATCTGATACTAATGGAGGAGACGCTCTTAGAGATTGGGAAAGGTCTTTTAAAAGTGAATCTAATTCAAAGTTTTCATTTTCATAAAGTCTGGTAAGAGCTAAAATGTAACCTTCACATGTTAACTGGGCAGGAGCTGGTAAATTAAAATCTTGATGCAAGTTTTTGAGTTTATCCAATGAATATGATTTTAAAGTATCTTTTTGAATTGCTTCTGATAATAATGAGTATGAATTGGGGTTGGTTGAATGAGATAATGGATCTATACCACAAATTGATATAACCATTCTCCTATTACTACTTGATCTTGAAACACCTAAACCTAAACATAATTTCTTTAAAGTTGAATCATTTAATTTATAAAGATCCACTGCATCACTAATATTATAACCTTTACTTGGATTAACTTCACGATTTTGAGTTTTAAAATCAGTTGTTGCAATTGATTTAAATGTAGGAACTTTTTGGTCTCTTTCATCAATTTTACAGACTTTATAATAACCATCAAGTTCAATTGCAATCCAACTTTTATTATCTTTAGATGTATCTTTGAGCAATATGTTAATGTTGGTACTTGAGGAATCTGAAATTGTTGCCAACCAACCTTTATTTACTATATGATTTAAATTATCTTTGGAAAAAAATGCACTATCGCCAAATAAATGAAATTTAAAATCTTTATACGTTCCTAATACGTGATCAACACTACTTGAGGGATTTATTTCATTATATAACTTGTTTAAAAACTCTATAATATATGGATATTTGAATTCTTTAAAAGACCCTCTTTTTGGTGATGATTCTGGGCTTTTTTTAGGGGATGACAAATGATGAATACATTCTAAAAAGGTTCCAACCATATAACTTAAAAGACCATTTGCATGAGGTTTACGAGGAATACACATAATTGGAGATTTATTATTATCTTGAATATTTCTCTTTTGAATCTGAATTTAGGATATATTTATATATAGTTTCGTCAAGGGTGCAAACTTTAATTCCTTCTACCAAATCATAACTAATATCACTCATTTCACCTGCAATTCTTTTAATTTGGTCATCTGTAAATTTGGTTGTTGATTGAACCAAAAAAAATCTGTTTCTTTTCATTTTTGTATTACTATGGTTTATAATTTCCATAATTGTTTTAAAAACACCCAAATCTATAATTTAGGTAATAGACCAATATTCAAAAAGCTCTTCTTTGGTAATCCTTGAAATAGGCTTAAATTTATACTTTTTGGAACCTCCTTCAAATTCTCTTTTATAAATCTCTTCTTTTTCTGAGTTGATTTTACTTAAATTGAGATTTGTTAGCTCCAAAAAACTATTTACAAATTTTTTATTGAAAAACAAACTAATTACCTCTTCTAATGATATTCCATAATATTTATTTTCAAGTCTTGCATACGTATCACTATCAACCAAAAAGAGTTCTTCAGTTACAATTTTCAGGTCTTGCGTACGTATCACTATCAACCAAAGAGAGTTCTTCAGTTACAATTTTCCCCGACTTTGATTTAATTCATTCATTGCTTTTCTTTTATTGAAAGTGTTCATTTTATAAATTTGTTGATAATTATAATAATTATAATTTTAAAAAAAAAATTTTAAAAAAAAAACCGAAATAAAAAAATAATATTTTCTAAAAAAATATTTTAAAAATTAAATAAAAATAAAATTTGTTAAACCTACAACCATTTTTACATATACACTATTTTGATATATATTTATATTTTTTTTTTCAATTTTTTTTTATTTTAAAAAATTGACCATTTTAATTTTATATAAAACCTCTCGAGTAAAAAATTATAAGATATATATATATATATAATTAAATAATGGAATGATATTAAAAAAATAATAAATGAAGAGTTTCTATATAAATTGGTTTTTTATTTTTTATTTTTTTTATTTTTTTATTTATTTATTTTTTTTTATTTTGATTAAAAAAATTAATATTATACATTTGTTTAAATTTAATTTTAGTATAAATAAATTAAAATTATTATTATCTACAAAACTATTTAATATATATAATATAATTATCTCAAATAGAATATTTACACACACAAATATAAAAATAAATAATTACCAAAAAATAAGAATTTTTTTTATTTTTTTTTATTCTAATAATTAAATAATTTAAGCACATATAAACACAGAAAATAATTCTCTACAAAACTATATATAAATCATTAAATAAAAATAAAAAATAAATTATAATACACGAGAAAAAAAATGAAATTTTGGAATTTGATTTTTAAAAATTTGGATTTTTAAAAATTTGGATTTTTATAGTTAAAACTAATAAAAATGAAAATATAGGATACATTATTTTATTTGATTCATTAATGATTCTATAATAATATGTTCTTCACCTTCTTCGAAACTATAATTGTGATGTTCTGATAAAATTTTTTTGATCATAGCGAGATACTCCATACTTCTTATCTGTTCTATTATAGATTTATTTTGATTTTTTTGTATATCTAAAATAAAATTTTCTTTTTCTTGAATAATGGTTTTTAGTTTTTCTATTTTATTATTTTTTTTGAGAATTTTTTGCTCAAAAAAAGAAATTCTTTTTTCCAGTTGGGTAAGGTTCTTCTCATATTCAATTTTATTTTTATGTATTGAGCCATTTAATTGATCTTTGGTTATTTGTAATTCAGCACTCCTTTCTTTTTCTGATTTTATAAACCTATTTAAAAGTTGATTTTCTCTTTCTGAAAATGAACTGATATTAATTTTTTCATCTTCGATCTCTTTTTCCTCATCTTTTGATTCAAAATTGTCAAATTTTCTTTTCTTTGGATCATTTGAAGTTGGTATTGGTGATTTTGTATGACTATTCCCTCCATAACCATTATTGGTTTTGTTATTGCTATTGCTTTTAGCTTCTTTGATATATTGAATAAAGTTATTATCATCTTCATCTTCATCTTCCTCTTCCTCTTCCTCTTCCTCTTCCTCTTCCTCTTCCTCTTCCTCTTCCTCTTCCTCTTCTTCCTCTTCCTCTTCTTCCTCTTCCTCTTCATACTCTTCATCTTCATCTTCTTCCTCCTCTTCTTCAATTTCATATCTTTTTTCTTCTTTTTGATCTTGAGAAACTTGGGTATCACGATCTTCTTGGTTATCTTCTTCTTGAGAAATAATGATATCACTATTATTGTCCATTTGATAAAATTTTTTATTTTTAATTATTAAAAATACTATTACTTTTGCTTTTAAATTATTTGTGTGTTTGTTTTTTGAAATAAAAAAAGTGAAGGAAAAAAAAAAAAATTGGGTATCGAAAAAATTAAAAAATTAAAAATTAAATTGAAATAAATTTTATTTAATAATATTTTTTCCCAACAAAATAAAAACCATTTTTTTTTTAAAAAAAAAAGCCAAAAGATTTAAAAAGATTTGATTAATCAGTTGCCCAATTTACTTTTTTTAAAAATTTTTATTAACTTTTAATTTTTTTTTTTTTTCTTTTTTTTTCCAAGGGGGTAATTTTTTTTTTTTTTTTTTTATATACAAAAAAAAAAGAAAAGATAAATTTTTATTTCTTAATTTTTTTTAAAAACGCACCCTAACACCCCCTTTGTTTTTTTCCACCATCCTTTTTCTGACAACACTTTGGGAAACTTAGGTCATTTTACTAATTATTGCTATTATTATTTTTATTATTATTAAACTAAATTTTTAAAATCTTCTTTGAAAGATTCACACAAAAAAAAAAAAGAAAAATAATTGGTAATTCTCTTATTATTAACACTTTTATATTATTATTCCGTTTTTGAAGCCACTGTTTTCAATCACTCCACAAAATATCTTCAAAAAAAAAAAAAATATAAAAAATTTTTTTTTTTTTATAATTTTTTTTTTTTTTTAATTTTTTCAAAAATAAAAAAATACCTCTATTTTATTTCGTTTTATCTAAGTACTCGTAAATGAGATTCATTCACCCAAATATTTGAAAATTTATTTTACAAAAAAAAAATTGGGGTTTATATATCGCGCAATACAATAATACTTAATATTTAATCCAATAAAACCAAAAATAACAATTCATATTACACATTTTTTATTAATAAAGATTCAAATTGAATAAAGATTTAAAAAAAATTAGAAAAATTATAAAAAAAAATTGGAAAAAAAAATTTTTTTTTTTTTTTTAAGTGAATTATGTGAATCATTTTGATTTTTTTTTTTTTTTTTGTAATTTTATTAAATATAAGGGGCAATTTAATGGGTCAGCGGATATTTATCACACAGAAACATACCGATATTGCTGTATTTTTTTTTTTGATGAATTTAATTCAAAAAGAAATAAAAACAATAACCGAATTTTTTATTATTATGATAATTAAATCAATATTTGGATTTTTAATATATCCATCTTTAATATTCGAGAATTGCCCAAAATTGTTTTTATTAATTTTTTTTTTATTTTTTTTTTTTATTTTTTTAATTATTATTTAGAAAGCATTTATCAAATTTAATTTTATTATTAAAGATATTCAATTCATATATTAATCAAATCAATTGATATTTTAAATAGGTATAATTTTGGGATTATATTCTTTATTTTTAATTATTTTAATTGTTTTTTTCCATTTACTAATACACTTTTTTTTTTTTTAATTTTATAAAATTATTAGTAAAATGCCACGTGGTAAATATAAAAGAAGGGCAATAAAAAGAAATGTTGTCATAAAAAAAAAGCCTGCCCTGCAAATATAATAGTTGCAGAAAAAAGAAAGAGGGGAAGACCACCCAAAGAAAAACCAGAGGCCTGCTATCTTTGTAGAATCAGAACTACCCCAGAGTGGAGAAATGGTTGGGTAGATTTGCTGGGTGTATCAACAAAAGTGTCCATGTGCAATGCATGCGGTCTCCACAACGCTAAAAAAAGAAAAAAAGAAAAAATCTTTAGGGAGCAGCATAGCATCCGAAAACTTTTAAACTAAGACCAATAAAAAAAATAAAAAAATTTATTTATAGTTTTATCCATTTTATTTATTTATTTAATTTAAATTTTTTGATGGGATTTGAAACAATTAAATTTTTTATTAAAAAACACAAAGTGTGTGCGCTCAGTTGAGATACCCTAAAATTTTTTCAAAAGTTAGACGTTGTGATTGGGATACATCACTGCATTTTGAGTATATTTTATACCAATCAATTCCTAAAAAGTTATCCCAAAGAATATTACTTGCAAGTATCTCTTTGAGAAGAACGGAAAAAGAGTACACATCAGTTTTTTCATTTAGATCTGCACGAGTTTGGCCATTTGGTTCTGATGCGATCCATCCTCTTTTACCTTTGCATTGGATTTGTTCTTTTGGGTCATTATTACGGCTGATACCAAAGTCCACAAACTTGATACAGTATTTGTTTTCTAAAATATTATACCAAAATGTTAGTAGTAGAAATGTCAGCGTGAGTTACACCTATGGGATGCACAGTTATATACAGTGGTGGACTTCCCCAAAATATTATATCTCCACCAACACTTCGTGCAATGAAATTTTATGGTGATGAAGTTGAAGAGTTTTCCAATACTATTTTTCCAGCATCACTTGAAATCCTTCAATTGCCACAATACCATGTCCAGCCTCTATCAAACTCGTGGCTTCCATCTTCATTGAAAATCCTTATCCATCCTGGTGATCCTGTTATTGCTGAAGATTATAGACGTCCAAATCTCATTAAATTTTATGTTGGTTATTTAAATGAATCCATCTTGATTTATGATAGAGCTTTTCTTGATGATAATCCTAATATTGTCCAATCATTTAAAAACAAACATAACGTAATCATTGAAGATTATTTAAATTACATTCTACCATGCCAAATAAACAATAGATATAGTGAAAAATTTTATATGGCAGATAACTAAAATTAAAATAAATAAAAACCTATTTAATTATTATTATAAAAATATTTTATGTGTAGATATATATGGGTATTGTATAAGGTTCTAAAAGAATTTATATATATGTAAATTTATGAGTATATGTATATGTAAATAATTATTATCGGAATATGATAATAAAAAAAGCTAAATTTTTTTTTAAATCTAAAAATATTGTTTATTTATTTATTTATTTTTTTTTTTTATTTATTTATTTTTTTATTTTCTTTTAATATAAAAATCTATTAATTAATATTATATGGTTGGTAAACTTTGGAACATTTAAATTGACTATCCAACACTGTAGTATAATCTCTTTAAAGTGGATAGTCCCTCGTTGATTAAATTCTCTATAACCATTTTATAATATTCTTTTTTTTGATTATTTTTTTACCAATAAAATTCGTTTTGCAAATATTAAAATTACTTCCTCCATCAAAAACTTCATCTTCAGCTGTACCTTCATCTATATTATTATCTTCACTTTCATCATTTCATTATTCCCTTGATTAGGGGTATTTTAGTGCATTAATCTCTATCTAGTTATTGATATATTACCTAAATGTTTAATTAGACACGAAGGTTTACAATAATAAGATGAATTTGTTTAAGAGAATTTATTTCAGCTCTTTTAAATGCCTCTTGATGGTGAATGTGAATCATTTGAATCGAATTCTAAATCAGATCCTTGTTTTTTATATAAATCTTCTTGAGGTTGAAGTTTATAATTTTCACAAAGTTCTTCCAGTGTCTTATTTATGGCTAAAAGAAAATTTACACCATAAGACATTGTATGAAAGTAGTATTCATACATTTCTATTGATTCTTTACAAAAGAAACAATCTTTAAATGTTACTATTTATCATTGTTTATTTTTTATTTTTTAATAATTTTGTTGATTAAAAATTGAATAAATTTTATTTAAAAAAAAAAATAAAATTGAATAAATTTTATTAAAAAAAAAAAAAATTAAAAAAAAAAATAAAATATTGTGCGGTGGTTCAAAATTAAAAAAAAATTTTTAATATGGAAAAAATTTCCCATATAAATTTTAAAAAAAAAAAAAAAATAAATTTTTTTTAAAAATTGCAATTGATTTGATTTATTTTTTAATTTTTATAATTTTTTTTTTTTTTTGAATTTTTAAAAAAAATTTATAAAAATAAATGGAAAAAAAAAAATGATGATTAAAAAAAAAATAGATTTAATTTTCTGAACCAACCGCACAATATTTTAAATAAAAATTTAATAAAAAATTTTTTTTTTTTTTTTTTTTGCAAATTATAATTGTATCTGTTATAATAATTTTTTTTTAATTTTTTTTTTTTTAATTTTTTTTTTTTTTTGGTTATTGTTGTTATTGTTATAATATTGTGATAGTTCTTTTGAATTATCACGTGCTATTTCGACCACATCAGAGGGTGTTGCATTAATGGCAATTTACAACCGTAATTAAAGAATTATATATAAGGCAAACAGTAAATAATCAAAAAGAAAAAGATAGAGGTTATTTGGGATCTAATAATTTAGGAAATGTGCTTCATGTCTAGTTAGTCATTTAGGTAATATATCAACAACTAACTGGAAAAAATGAACAAAACTTCTCATAGTGAAGAGAATAATCCTAATGAAGGTGAAGGTACAGCTGAGGATGAAGATGGTACAGGCCAAGATGAAGATAATGGTACAGCTGGAGATAGAGGTAGAAATGGTGTTGCTAGAGGCGGTGGTATTACTAGAGGTGGTATTACTAGAGGCAGAGGAAGAGGCAGAGTTGGTAATTATCAGTGAGCGACGAGGAAATAAAAAAGGAATTAGAAATCAATTATGCTTGGCTTTAACACTGACAAAACTAAAATCAAACTTTAGTTTTGAATATCTATCATATTTGTTTGAAATAAAACTGACACAGGCAACTAAAATTTACAAGCGAATGTGTGGATGCATGTATTTTTTTAATCTAATAAATACTATTCATCTCTTACCATTAGAAGAAAGGTTAGCACGTGGTCACTGGTTTGATAAAAATGAATTCAAAGTTTCAAACGGTTTTACTGTATTTATGGTAATCTAACTCCAACAAGCAGCGCACCTACAAAACAATATAGAAACAATATGCATAGTGGTAAAGAAAAAATAGAATGCATATCAACAATTGGTATTGTTGATGGAATAGGAAAATTTCAATATCTCTCTCATTCTTTCCAAGATCCATACCTGATCAAGTATCATTAAATTTTCTTAGTCTAGTAGATGTAGTTGGTTTGCTTACAGATGATGAATATTTGGTTGCTGATGCAGCATTTCCTAAAATTGGGCAATATTGTAAAAATGTTATATTTCCAAAAATAAGCACAATTGGATCAATCGATATTAGTAATAAACCAAATAATTAAAAATTTTCAAATTTTCTAAATAATAATAATATTTAGAAAATTTAAATAATAATAATTCATTGGTAAGGAAGAATGTAAATGGCCCAGTGTTCTAAAGGGTTATGAAATAATTACCTGTTTTCTTGACTCGGTTGACAAAAATCAAAAAGCTGAATACCAAAATAAAACTTTTGGTATTTATGTTACAGTTGATGGGCAAACTGCAGAATTGAAAAACAACTTTACATATTACTGTAATTATAATATTATATAAAAAAGTATATTTATTGAACAACTTATTAATTTTTTATTTCTATTTAGTTAAAGAGGAACCCCCAGTTCCCAAGGAGTCTAACAAACTATCAATAACAATTCCTTCATCTGTTATTATTATAGGTGCTGGTGTAATTACTATTGTTTCTTATGTCGTCTACAAGATTAAACAAATACTTTTTTGAATTTTTTTAGTCTAATAATACTTTTAATCGTTGTATTATAAGACTAAAAAAAATTCAAAAAATTTTAAACAAAAAAGTATTTGTTTAATTCAGTATCAGTTCTACAATAGAATGTCAATCAAATCAACTTAAAATGATTATTATTTTTATAAAAAAAAAAAAAAAATATTAATAAATTTTTAACTATATATTTGCAAAAAAAAAAATTAACTATTTAATTTAAAAAAAAAAAAATTTATGCAATTCATAAACAAATAATTGTATATTTATTTGATAACTAGAATTATTTATTAAAGATTATCACTTTTACCGGGAGATCCATAAACAGTTGGTGGGTAAAATGAAAATGTAATATTGTTTGGATTTATTGCATTTCTACCTTTAATTCTCATAAAAATATTATTATTGTGTCCTGATGTGGTTTTTCTTTCACCAATTCCATCTAGTTTAATTTCTTGACCTGAAATACCTTTAACATTACATTTTAATATTGTATTATCTTCATATATGGTTATGTTGTTACATGGAATACCTGATGGAGTTCCTCTTTGAGATCTAAATGAAATAGCAGCTCTTGGGCTAAGGTAGTTGCCATATATTGTAACTTCACCTCCACTTACAGGGATTGAGTTTATTTTTAAAATTACGGGTTTAACAGCAAATTCATATTGTTTCTGTATATTTTGATGATCTGGTATTCCAACAGTTATATCCAAATAGTGAAGTCCATGAAGTAATTTGGGTGTCATAAATTGCAAACACGAATCGTTAACATTTGAAATTTTAATTTGTGTTTCACCAGATACTATGGATATTTTGTTTATATCTCTTCCAAAATTATAACCAAATAGTGTTACCAATCCACTTACATTATATTCAATACCAGAAACTAACGGACTATTGTAACTGAAAAGTTTTCCTCTACTATTGTGTACTTATCAATGCTAACTGATAATGGCAAGTCCCTACCAACTCCTGGTTCCAATAAACACTCTAGATGAATACCATCATTACTATTGGGACTTTTACATTTTGCAATATTTTCACCGCTACCAACATATATGCTTATAGGTAAATTTACAGTTGAGGATCCTTCAATTTTTTTAGTATGAACTGAAACACCAGTAATTGTTACTATTTGACCAGTTGTATGCGATATCCTGATAGTTTATTTGTGGAATTATCAAATGCCCTTGAATATAGATTAATTCCATTGATTGTTACATTTCCACCTTCTCTGGATGAAACTGAGGTGATTCCTTCAATTTTTGGTTTATTTGTAATTTTAAAATTTGTTTCATTTATATCAGAACCACATATTTCCAAAACGATATCCCACATGCCACAATATATTATCAATTGGATTAACTTTACTTTTTGCTGGCTGTGTTTATGGCGTTTGGAGACACTATCAAAACAAAATAAATAAATAAAAACAAATTTGATATATTTTAAAACTATTAATTTTTATTTTATTTTATTTTATTTTATTATTATTACTATAACCAAAGGTAGATATTGCTTTGTTTTGGAGCTTGTTACTTTTCAAAAAAGGATTTGAATTTAAACTTTCGTCACCTGCATTAACAACACTATGATTACTTTGAATTTGTTAAATTTCGAATCTTTTTTCTGTTCCATTATCTAAATAATATTACTACTACTGTTACTATTTAATAAATTGCCTTCTAAAAACTTATTGGAGATTGATTTTATTACTAAGATAGATACTGTTATAATTATTGTAGTTACTATTGTATTCAGTAGTTTGGGTGGAACCAAAAAAAGTTGTGCCACTGTCATAGCTGTTTCTAGTTTTATCATTATTACTACTACTATTATCATCATCTCTTTCTGTGAAATCAATAAATTTATTATCTCTGATAATTAATTATTATTATTCTTCCTCCTATTATTTCTAAAATTATTTTTGTTCTAATCTTATTTTTATTGTTACTATTGCTAATGTCATCTCTTTTTTAATTATTTCTATAAACTATTTTTATATCGTTAGTTAATACCGAAAATCTTTTGTAAAACAAATTTATCATTTCTATTATATAAGAAATAGTGTTTATATTTACCTTTAATGATTCAAAGTTTGAATTTTTAAAAACTTCACATATAATATATTATTAACACAACAAAATATTATTAAAAAATATGTTTAAATAAATATAAATAAATTTTAAAAAAAAATTATAATTTTTCTATTTACAATCTGATTAATTTTTTTGAAGTTAGATTTGCTTTTTTCGTTTTTTTTTTTTTTTTTTCAAATAATATTTTTTTTAATTTTTTTTTTAATTGGGAAACCCATTTTTTCTTTAATTTAAAAACCCATTTTTTTTTCAAAAAAAGTATGATATTTTATTTAATTCAAATATATTTTCTAATATTAATTATTTTAATTATTTATTCAGAAAAAAAATAAAACAAATCCATCTTCAAAAAAAAAAAAAAAAAAAAAATAATAATAATATTTATAATAAATAATTAAGTTTTAACAATAATAATATCTATTGCAAAAATAACAGCAATAATGAATAGATTCTTTGTGATAGTTTGTTTGGTTATGATTTTGGAACTGAATAATTTTTCAAAATTTAAATAACTTATAATATCTTCCAAGGTATTCTGCTTGCTAGTAGTTTGTTGTTGCCTATTAAACAATAGAGCCAGGCAATAACATCAAAATAATATTTATCACAGGTTCAGAAACAGAGTGCTATCTCAGGGTTAAAGCAATATTAGAAGGCAATAAAGTATAACAATAAAATAATTATAAAAATAACAGCGATAATAATAATAATAGTAATGGTAATAAACAATAGTATGGGATTATTTCTTGTGATCTTTTGTTTTGGCTATGATTATGGAACTGAACCTTTAAAGATTTAAAAAAACACCATCCGTATTGATCAAAGTGCAAACTAATATAAGATCAGTAATGACATCCATCACAAACTACCTTTTACATTCTTTTAAAAAGAGAAGCAGATTCTAGCTATTAAGCAATATACAAATACAGATACAGAGTTATATAATTCAATCGTGCTGATTGTAGTGTTTAAACAATAAGATAAGGCAATAATCAAATCATTATTATTATTAGTTTGATTATTGATAACCTTAGAAATGGTATTCAAGATAAAAACATATGGAAAATTGAAAATATAATATAATAACAATAACAACAATAACAACAATAACAACAATAACAACAATAGCAACAATAGCAAAAACAGTGTTCTCATGAATAAACCTTTGTATAACAATACAGTATATAGCAAAGATTCAAGAGATACTGTTAACGATTGGTCAAGTAAAAAGGTTAGTGAATGGTTAACATCATTAAAATTTCCCATAGAAATCATTTCAAATCTCAAAGCTCGTGTAATAGATGGAAGAACATTTCTGACAGTTTACCAAATGATGTTTAATTAATTTCTTTCGGTATGAATGCTATGGGCAATAGATTAAAATTTAAAATCTTTTTAGAAAAGTTATTAGCTCAAAAATAAAGTCAATATCTACCTTTAGGTTATAGTAACAACAATAATAAAATAAAAATAAAATAAAAATAAAAATATTTTTATTGATAGTTTTAAATATATTCAAATTAGTCTTTATTTATTTGCTAATAATTATTTCTTTTTATTTATTATTATTTGTTTTTATTTTTTTGTTTTTATAATATTATTTATTTGTTTTAAAGTTATTTTTTATTTTTATAGATTTCTTTTAATCACCTCTTTAAAATTCGATTGAGTTTCAAGTGTTAAAAACTGAAAAAACCTATTTTTTCAAAAAGGAGAGAAATATTCATACTCCAAAGCAGAGACAGCATAGGAGAAAAACTGTTTTACAATGCATTATTTATTTTAAACCTTCACTGCCACACTCTATAATATAAATAAAATAATAATTTTTTTTTAGTAAATAATAACATTGATAGATTTATATTATTTCATGGTTGATAATACTAAATATTTTATAAAAAAAATCAAAACACTATAGTAGCTACTAACCCAAACTATTTTTTTAAATAATTTGATTATTATTTTACCTGAAAAAATATTTTTTATCCCTGGTTATTAATTTATTTTTTTATTTTAAATTATAAATGAAATAAAAATTAATATGAAATGTTTTTTTAAAAAAAAATACCAAATTTAATTAAAAGTTTTTGAATTGGGTTAAAAAAAATACAATTTATCCAATTTTAAACACAAGTAGTGGTACAAAAAAATTTATTTTTTTGTGCCACCTGAACCAATAAAAAATTATGGTTTATTAAAAAAATTTGTTAGTTTTATTTTATAATCCTTTTTTAAAAAAAAAAAG